AATATATAATAAATATATAAAAAAATAATATATAATAAATATATTAAAAAAATGTGTTAATAAATTTTTAAAAATATTTTATTTAATTTTATATCGATTTTGATAATGGTTTTTAAAATTAAAAATAAATAAATGATTAATCTGCAAAAATGATTTTATTATTTTCTTACTCAAGAGGCTAATTTTCCTTCTCTCAAAAATCTTCATTTGCAAATGTTCAAATAATTCAACTTTTTGAAATTTAAATATCATTTTTAAATATCACTATACTATTTTTTTTTTAAACATAGACATACTTTCAAAAATTAAGACCTAAAGATTTTTTTTACCTATTGTTATAAAAGTTATGAATTTTTAATCGAAATCATGTATTCTCAATAGTTTTGCTCCGATATCAATCTGTAAAAATAAGTAAAATAAAACAGATTTTTCATGATAGTAAAATTCATTATTAAAAGCGAAAATTTTTTCAAATTTTTAGTTTAAAATGATGTAAAAACTTGCATTAACTCTCAAAGCCCTAAGTTGTACATGAAAAATATAAAATTACACGTTGCGGATTATGAATATGAGAATATATGGATAGAGCACAATGCCACGTAAGTAAAGCATAAAGAATGAGGGGAATTAAATCTGTTGCAATAGGAGGTCTATGATGATGGCAGCATGGATAATTTCACAGAGTGTGATTTATTACAATGTCTGATTATTGTTGCAACATTTTGGTTAATGTCAAGTAATTCTGAGCAAATAGACAAGAAATTAAGGATCAAGATGACCACAATAATTTTTATTTTCTTCCGTCAGATTTTATCTCTCATCTAAAAAGATACTTTGTGCTACATCCATATATATTATCCATGTGCTGAGGATTATTATATGTACGCAACAATGTATAATAAGAATTTATATTTTATTGCTATAATTGTAGAGCCAATATTTGGCAAGGCAATTTTCCTATAGAAAACACTGAAAAAGATGGTTACAAAGGTACATCGCCAGTTACAAGATTTTTGCAAAATAAATACGGTTTATATAATATTGTTGGAAATGTTTGGGAATGGACAGCAGATTGGTGGATAACAAAACATTCGCACAATCAACAAATAAATCCAGTAAGCATTTAAATTTAGTATAATAAAGTAACATATATTGCATAGATATGTCTAATCTTAATTAGAAATATATTATATAACAACTTGACATCGTACAAAAGATATTTGAGATAAAAGTTTTTCAGTTTTAAGAGTTTATATCCTATTAATTTGATATTAGCTGTTTGAAGATCGCATAAAAGTTAATGTAATAATATAATTTTTTTTTAAATGGAAGTATAATTTTTTTACATAATTCCTTATAATTATTCTATATATAAAAGTCCTAGCAAATACAGAATATAACTACTATATAACATAAGAGTAATATGTAATATAACAAATATTATATTTTAATATTATGTACATTATTCCCAGCACTAACTAAATTTGCAAAAATAGATATTAAGCAGAATATAGTACCAATTTCTGTTGACTAAAAGGCAACAGATTTTATATAGACTCTGTAATATCTTATTGACAAATTGCCACCAGAAATATGACAAAGCTTCCTGATATACTGTGTTAGCAGATTGATGGCAAAAACTGGAAAAGTCTATTAATATAACATAACGGCAAATTAGCAGTAGAAATTCAGCAGAATTTGTATTATGCAATTTGACAATAGATTAACAATAGAAATCGAACAAACACTGTTATTGTAAATGTAATAATTGTAAAACTATCATTTGTATCTGTTTGTTGCGTGTAAAATTTGTTAGATCTTCCATATAATTGAAATGACTATAATATTATTTGTGCATCTTTTATGTACTTGGTACAAAATGTAATTATATCTTTACAAGGAAGTTAACGAGTATAATACTTATGACATAATTACTGGTATATATGAAAATCAAACGCCATGATATATTTTATACTTTTGTAAAAAAAATTTTATAATTTACCTGTGTTATAAAGAATATATTAATTTCTCTATTAATAAAATAGTTAAATATTATTCTTTTAAAATAAGAGATAGAGAAAAAGAACAATAAGTGTGTTACTTTATAAAATCTTTTAGCATAAATAGTGGCAATTAAAATCATTAACAATAGACTCTTAATTTTATTCGATTTCTGCTCAATTAGATAAAACAATGTAACATTTTGTTATTTATATAAAAGATGTGAAGCTAGAATATATTATAAAATATCTCAAACTATTTGTTTTTTAATAACTTTAATATTTTTATATCCTAAGTAGAGTAATCAGAGTTAATTAAAGAAATCATATTATGTAAAATAAAATCATATAATTCCATTTTTTAAAAATGACTGTGATTTTCAAATAGCTAATATCAAACCAATAATATTATTGTGTATATCTTCTTTAAATCTTGAAACTTTTATATATGATATATTTTGTACGTCAAATTAAAAAATTTTTCAACATTTCTATTAAAATAAAATGTATTAAACTTTATATATAAAATAATTTCATATTAAAAGATTAGACTAGTTCAAATGATCTTGATCTTGATATATAGAAAATTCATTCCTGAGTAAAATGGTTTTTGAAGATAATACTTTTTTAATAATTCGTGAAATATTTAAAATTAAATATATCAGGAAACACTTGTGTTTTGCATCAAGTTTATGTGCAGCAAAGTTTGCATAGACTGGTGACAAAACACTCAATTCTGTTAACATAAATCATCAAAAGTTGAATCATTTTCATGTTTTGAGCAATAGTAGAATTAGTTGAATTTTAAGCTAAATTTTGATAGTTGATAGTTTAAATCATATAAGAAATGTTTTTAATCCTCCTTTTTATGTCCCATAAATAGAAATATTGTAATGTACAAATTAATAAATTTAAAAAAATAATATACAAATTTGTGATTTTTTTACTTCTATGCAGAAGTAAAAATCAGAGAGCATTTTTTTGTAACAATATTTATAGTTATGTAAGTAACGCATGCTTTTTGACAAATCTTTAATATGTTCCTTTTTGGAAGAGGAATATTTTCTATCACTATACTTCTGTACTTCTCTATCACTAAACTATACTAAAATTTATTTTCTTTCGCCATATTTCAAATTCAAGATGATTCAACCATTTGTTCTTAAAATGTCATATTCCTAAGTCGATTTTTTTTCTCTATCAAATTTTTATCAGAAGCTTAGTTTTTTAATTATAAGGGAAAACAGTTTGCGAGGGAAAACGGGTCGCGTACAAAAGAGTGGGCAAGAGTGATGCAACTCACCGTCTGACGCGGGCGATTAAAAATTTGATAGAGAAAAAAATCGTCTTAGAATCGGATCAGGAACATATAACATTTTAAAGACAAACAGTTGTTCTGAATCACCCTGTATATCACCTGTTTCATTTTAAATACAATGAGTGTATACTGGTTTAGGATACCAATCGTGTAATTTTTTCCTTAAGATGGAAACATGAAAAGTGAAGTTTTACTGTTAAAGATAAAACTTCTAAAGGAAAACGTTTTTACTTTTCATGTTTTTCTGCCCTAGAGAAAAAGTTATCATATGATCAGTAGTCAGCTGTAAAGAACAAACCCAAATATTAAAATATTAATATTGATAAAACAGAAATTACATAGTGTTATATAATATGTTAAGCCAAATGGTATTGTATATTAAAAATTTTCCCTTATAAAATAAACTTATAAGAATAAAAAAAGTATATAGAATAATTTTATTATTTATATTTCTAGTTTTTATTAAAAGTAAAATAAATTATATGTATTCAAATATGTACATCTTTAGTTAAGCCGACAGAAACAGGTTTGAGCAGAATATGTTATCAATTTCTGATAACAGAAAAATAGCAAATTTTACAGATATATGTAATATCTGACAGTGTCGGCAAATTATCGCCAGAAATACGACAAAGTTTGCTAATCATGTTATGTCAACAGATTATATGCAGATATTGATATGATCTGATACATTTTCCTATTGTCATATTATTTTCACATTATTGAATTTTCTATAATATATCAAGATCAAAATTATCTTAGTTGTATAAGTTTTTCTGTAAAATTACTGTTATAATTACAGTTCTTATTGAATATATTTTTAGATTGGCCCTTCTAGTGGTAGTGATAAGGTGAAGAAAGGTGGTTCCTATTTATGTCATAAAAATTATTGCTACAGATACAGATGTGCTGCGCGTAGTCAAAATACACCCGATACATCAGCTGGAAATTTAGGTTTTAGATGTGCCATATCAACGTAGCTAAAACATTGAAGTATTAACACATAAAATTAAACTTTTAAACAGAATGATTAAAAATAATGTAAACAAATTATATTTTCTTTATATGTATTATAATTATATATAATGTATAAATATTATATGTAATCATCTCGTAATTTTTATTTTTCTATTTATAATATATAGCTTATTTTAATTTGTGGCATATAACATTGAACATCATTTTTCGACTGTTGATCAGATTTGATAGCTCGACCATTGAATTATAGGCTGCGTTCCGATATTCACTGCCAACACTGAAAATATATAGTCATGTCATATATTATAGGTTTTATATACTAGCAATGAATATCGGAATGCAACTATAGTATATTGAATTCCAGTAACTGGAGTGAGCCTTCCAAGGAATGGGAATGTCTCATTTACTGAAAAAAGATAGTGTGCGTGTTGGAATCGCTCTCTTTGTCAAGAGATTCCCGGATTGGTTAATGTTATTCTACTACTATAAGGTTAACCAATAAGTATGCTATAGAAAAGAGAAAGATTCCAACTTAGTATGCCCGTCCTTTTCTCCGCTAGGTCGCGGCTTTCTATAGTTTAGTATAGGGATGACTCACTTCAGTATACTATATAGCTTAATGAGCCCGACTGACCATCCGTCGGATATAAATGCTGATGAGCTTGTCCACTCTCGTAAGTCAAAGCAACAGCAAATGGGCGAGCAAATCTATTGTGGACTGAGACTAAAGCGGCGTCTACAATGAGATTTTAAAGTGTAAAACTTAAGAAATTGGCCAATCGATTTATAAAAGAATAATTGATTGTGGTTGGCCAATATCTTAAATCTTACGCCTTAAAATCTCATTGTAGATGCCGCTTAAGTTTTATTGTGTGTCATAGCCTTCACATTGCCGTGTAAACGTAGGATATGACAGCGAGCGTTTAGTTTTACTTTTCCGATGAGATTTGATGAGGTTTTGTGAGATCTTCAAAATTAATTCAAAATTAATGATGATTAACCTGTCATTTCTGTTGACTTTAAAAAAGAAAAAGTAAGATACTTATAAGATATTTATATGTATCATATGATGATTCGACTTCTTTTCTATTTTGTATAATGTGTGTGTGTGTGTGTGTGTGTGTGTGTGTGTGTGTGTGTATGTGTGTGTGTACACACACAAATGATATCTTTAAAAAAATATGGAGAGATATTGTAGAATATAAAAAAACAACATTTAGTTTCAATTGTATATCTATTTTACATATTAGGTAATGAAATAGTTTCTTCCATAACAATATCAATCAATAAAACACACGCTCTATCCTGGATAATATTAGGAGTAAGATATATCCAATTATTAATGAAAAATACAATATGGCTTCAGCATCCAGCACAAGCGCACGTAGCCTGTTTATTGAGTCAAAGCTGAGATTAGCAGATAGAGTTCAAGTTAATGTTAATAATATTGCTTCACTTGCCAGGCAGATACAGCGAGGTTCCAAAAGTAACGAAGTAATTTCATTTTTTAAATTTATTTCTGAGATAATTCTTTAATAACATATTAAATTAATAATTCGGTCTTGTTTATAGATGTTAACACATGCAGCAAGAAATTTTGCACAACAGGAACATGGATTAGAAACAATGAAATCTGATTTGAAGAAGCTCGAGCTTATTGTTATTCATTTGAAGTATCAAATAGATACAATAGACAAAAGTCTGGTGATGTTGGAAGAAGTTACTGAACAAGTACGATCTATGCAACGATAACACACGATAAAATGCACACACACACACACACACGCGCGCGCGCGTGTACACACACACACACACACACACACATATTTATTTCGTGTGTATGTATAAGAATTGTCCATCATAAATTTATGGAATATATGCATAAAAAATATAAATGTTACATTGTAGCATTAATTTTAAGAACATGTGTTTTCCTAAGTTTATGATATTTAATTTAGAAATAGTTTTTTTGTAACACTTTTATTTCAATTTTCCTTTTTAGTACAAGTTCTTGCGCAATAAAATATTTGCAATATTTGTAATTCCTGTGATATATGATTTATAAAAAAAAAAAGTATACTTGCGTTGCACATGTTATTTAAAATTAGTTCATATAACATATAATTTAGTATATATATATATAGATAAATTATAAAATTGAAATGTGATTATTTTAACAATTGAATATTTATATTATTTCTGTATTTGTGTCCAAAATACAAAATGATAAAAAAAAATAGACTAAAGGAATTAAATAACACAATACATTGATTTCTCTTTTTATTCCAGACAATTAATCTTAAAAGTTAAAGTACTTATAAATAATAGGATATATTGTCAAACTCATACACAAATACAAATAGAGACTTTCTAAAATGTATACACAAAACAAATTTATTTCTTTTTTTATAGTAAAGATAACATATTTCAATAATAATTTTATAACTAAAACACTTCCAAATATAATTTGAGGTTGATCTGGTTATCAGAAATCATTTTCATATCATATTAGAAAGATCTGTATATCAAATTCATCAAGGATAAAGAATATCATAGTGACCAGGACGATATAACAAGTGCACAGCTGGTATAGCACCTTCAGGAAAATCATGGGCAGTTACTTCAGTTCCTGCGCCTCTATCCATGTAACGAACTCTAACACCAGTTCCTAGGGCACTACTCATTGCTATGATGTGAATATGATCAGATTCCTTATACATTGGTTCAACTTCCTAAAGGGAAAAAAAAAGGGAATAAATATATATGAACATTCTAAAAAGATTACTGAAAGAATAATGATAGCTATAAACCTGATGGCAGAATTCCGAGATGGTGCGTTCTCCTTCAATAAAATGTTGATAGAAGTCAGCATCGCGTTGTAACTGGCCAGATGTAATTAATCTAAGATATACAACAACATAATCGGAATAACCTTGTTCATTAAACAATTTATGTAGTTCCATATGACTGGATTCTGTGTCACCGCCTACTTTATCTATGACTTCCATAAACTATAACAAAAATTTATCAAAATCAAAATATAAATTCTTGTAACTTGTGTTATTATGCTAAAAATATATGTAACAGATAAAAACATGCCTTACCGTATCATGAAAATCTTCAACTGTAAATTGTGGAAAACCTAAAGCCACAAGGCTATCTTTGCTTTTTAAAGCTAGATCTCGAAACTTATTATATTCTTCTTTATTCCCAATTAATTTTTCTAAATAAGCATAACTAAATGCTCTGAAGAAACAATTACCATCAGGTCTAGTTCTTCTAATATAAGAATATTTCTCAGCCAAAGTTTTTGCTTTTGAAAGATATACATCATCTTTCACATATTCTTCTTCTAAGCTCTTTAGTGGTTCTTTTTCACCAACTAATGCTATAGATTCTGAAATCTGAAATACAACAAATAATTACCCAAGAATGGACAGTTATAAGGGTTTTATATCTTTCTTTAACAAACATTTTTATATAATTACTAGTAAAAATTAATATTAAAATAAAATGTATATCATTAAAATAGAGAAAGCAGCAATTGATATCACTAATGAAACAATTTAAATATCGATTAAGCAGCTCAATGAATAACAAGTTGTAAATTAATATTCGAATAATTTTCCTTATTGAAATTCATAAAAACAAAAAAAACGAAACTTTAAGAAGATAATAAAATTAATTTAATATGTAAATTTATTTTTAATTAGACAAATTAAACAAAATTTATATATTCTTTAAAGATACACTTTAAACATGACACGAATAGCATATTAACCTCCTTCTCGATACGTCTTTGTTGTTGGAGTATCAACTCGTCTTGATTGACATCTGCAATAAAAATTAGAATAATAAATTATTCGGCATGATTTCTCAATCATAAATTATGCTAAGAAACCTGTGTTTTCTATGGGTTGTTCCTTAAGCGAATTATTTTCCATATTTCTGAAAACTTTATCAAATTTCACGAGAATTGTCAAATTATCAATAGTAAACAAAAGCTCGACATTCCCATGTGATGTTAAAAGATGTGTTGTGTTTTATGCTTTTGCTGTTATGTTTTATGTTTTTGTATTGGCAGCATTATTGAACAAATTCAGATATTCAGTCCATTTAACGCTACAATGTTTCGAAGCATTTGATTGATCAATCAGAACAAAGAATTCTACCGATTGACCAATTATAAGACACTTTGAAGCATTTATAGTACCAAGACTGCGTATTCGATATTCACTGCCAATACTGAAAATATATAGTTCAGGTCACGTATATTATAGATTTTCATTACTGTCAGTGAATTGCGAAACGCAACCAAGTAGACTGCAACCTAAGCTTTAGATAGTTTACATGATGTATAAGGACCTATTCAGACAAACTTACATAGCAGCATAATGCCTTGTGTCCATGCTAGAAATCGATCCGAGATCTCGGATGGAAAAAAAATTGACCAATGGCGTTTAAATAATTCGGCCAACTAACTAACTGCGATTGGATAATTCTCTTTTCATCCGAGATCTCGGACCAATTTCTAGCATCGTGGACACAAGGCCGTTTGAACCATATATATAGAACTAAAAAGATGGGGCATAAATATATTAGTAGATAGAACATGCAGCAAAATTTCTTTGATTTTTATCTTGATAAATCTGGAAAGAGAAAAGTAAATGCATGGGGGAGCATTCTGTGATCACGTTGCAATTGGACATAACAACTTAAGCGACCGATGTTCAAGATTATTCACTGGATCAACCAATCAAAAAAGTTTATTTTACTAATAGACAACGTGAACAATCAGGTGCCATCCTGCAGCATAAATTGCGTTAACGTAACTTGCGATCCAATCAAATCGTTTCAATTACTCTACACAAAGATATTCTTTCACCTAGCTCTTATTAGACCATGTAAAGCCAGCGGCACACGATGCTTTTTTCCGCTGATTTGCTAGCTGGATTGCGTGCTCGTTGAGCTCTTGTCTCTGATTGGTATATTTTTCTGGATTTAAAAAAAATATATCAATCGAAGACAAGAGTTCAACAAGCATTTTTTTATATTATCCACACTTATTTACTCCATATCATAAATAGGTTAGAAATTAAGACAAATTTTGATGTCTTAATGCTATTAGCAATTTTGCAATTTTGATAATAAATTAAGCTGAATTTTCATGCAGATATCGGCGCTTTAACACAGACGCTAATTGGTGAATAGTAAATACTATTTACTCCCACCACTCATTTTTCACCAATTAGCGCTCTGTGTTAAAGCGTCCGTGTCTGCATGAGGATCCAGCCTTAATCGACAAATCACATTAAGGTGTGCTTCGATCTTAGTCTTAACTTTAAGTCCCGGTCTACAATAGATGATTTAAGCCATAAGAAATGGACGAATCATAGTCAAAGAATAGGAGAATAATCGATTATTATTGATTAATTTCTTATAGTTATAGCTAAAACTATTTTACATGAAAAAATTTAATTAAAAAAATTAGTTTTAAGTAAAATTGACGTAGAATTGACCAACGAAAGTTTGTCTATTCCACTTACGATATTCAACTTACGGCTTAAATCACCTATCGTAGATCGGGATTAAAAGTTGAAAATGAAGTCGAATGAATTTAATAAATTTTTTTCACGTAAAATAGTCTCAATCTTAGACCGGGCGCACACTTCTGCATAATGCATAAGAAAATGAAGTAATCATAATTTTCCATTTTTACATCGATAATGAAAATGAAACGCTGATTGGTTGATTCTCTTATGCATTATGCGTTATGCCTTATGCAAAAGCGTGTGTCTCGGTCCTTAGCTCTCTGTTTTCACTTCACATGACTATTCTGATCAGCTGATCATTGTTAATAAATGAAAAAGCAAGAATGAATATAAGAATACTAAGTGTTCCACTTGTGCAATATTTACACAGTAGACTCAACATTGGGGACTTATTAATAGATCATAATAAAAAAAAATTGAATAATTTTATTAGCTTTATTCGATTGTTAATAAAATTAATTGTTAAATAGATCATTGTATTTCTGGATGTAATAAATAAGTATACTATTTATCAAGTACAAAATATAGATTTTTGAAAATCTGAAGATCTTATAATGCCAGTTTATATTAGAAAACATTTATAAAACAATGCATTAAAAAGTGAAAGTTAGTTCAAAGGCTTATATTAAGAGATTATAGAATTAGCTTGTTATGAAATATTTTTCAATTATTTGCATATTCACTTTAGTGGTACATCCTTGATATTTAATTCGAATATAATCTTAAAAAGAAAGCATAATTTCTAACTAAATTGTATATTCTATTAATTCAATAAATGGGTCACTAATAAATAAATCATTAAATAAATGACTTACATAATTATAGATAGTAATTTCAGTATTTTAAAAATTTGCTACGAATTTAATTTCTATATAGTTTGTAAAACCATTACTGCATCAATTATTCTTTGTAATTCGCCTTCACTATTCGTTAATTTTTCTTTGTTATTTTTTTGAACATCAAGGGGTACTTTTATATCATAATTAGGTATAGCTAAATCCTGTTTCAACTTTTGTATAATCTCAAGCAGCTGTTCTTCCTTTTTTTGTAGCTTTTCTAATTCTTTCTTTGGATCAATTAAACCCTACATAAAATATATTTATATTTTAATATGTGACTGTATATAACAAAAAGTAAAAATAGATATGTGTATATTAATTACCTTCAGTAATAGATATACTTGAACTTTATCAGTTATGGTGATAATAGCACATCCTATAGGTGGTTTCTCCATATTAAGAATAGAATATGCAAGAGTTTCTATGAATACTTTATATTGGACAATCATTTCCTTTAAAGCTGGATCGCAACACACAATATACGCTTCTGTTTTCATTTTATTAGGTAAATTATAAGTCGCGCGAGCGGATCGTATATTCTTAATTATTTTTTGCGCAAATTCAATGTCCTTTTCAATTTCTTGATTTCTCCAACAACACTAAAATACATTACATGAATTACATTAGTGTTGCAATCATGGATACTTTAATCACAATTTATTATCAAAATTATAAGAATATCATAATAACTTACTTCTTTACCATCTGGATATGGACTAACACATATACTTGGATATATTAGATTTTTACGAGGTAACCGTTGATAAAGCTCTTCTGTTATAAATGGCATAAATGGACTTAATAAACGCAATCCTATATCCAGCGTGATTAATAATACTTTTTGAGCCGCTAATTTAGCTATGTTATTTTTACTTTGAAATATTGGTTTGAGATATTCCTAGAATGAAAATTGTTGTGTATGAAATATTTACTTTTCTATCTTAAAATATATAACGTATATTAAAAAATTATTACTAACCAAGTAAATATCACATAAGTCATATAACCATAAATTATAACAGGTAGAAGTAGCTAATGCAAAGTCATATTGTTCTATCGCTTTGTTACAAGTTATAACAGCGTAACTAGTTCGTGATAACATCCATAAATCTATATTTGTTTCCTTTCCAGTTAGCTATAACATTAATAATTGATTATGAACAAAGAAGTAAAGTTGTTTTTTTTTAAATTATAAATAAATGTTACTTATAAAATGTCTCATAATTTGTGGATTGCCTCTAGTGGCAAGTAAGTCAAATTGAACAGAAAAATCCTCTATCATTTTGCAATTTTCGTAATTAATGAAAAAATAATAAGGTCTGTTCTTTTTAGCTGAACTAAAAAAACTAGTTCAGAGTTTATCTTTCTTCTTCCAGTATAAAGAAAGAAAGAAGGATAAATTGTAAAGTAGGACAACCAATTCAGCCAAAAAGATCTAATCTATAGATATCCGAAAATAAGTATGCATCAGCGTGAAAATAGCCCAACATTAGGCGCAGTCATAATTGGCTAGAAGGTAAAATGGCGATAAAATGATTTGAAAATGTGTTTCGCTAATGACAATAGCAACTATAGATACTGTACAATATTAGATTCTTCTCTTTCCTGTATCTTGCAATGGCTCTTGCCGCATATTTATTTGCAAATCTTAATTTTTCATTAATTATTGCAAAAAGAATCGTGAAAATAATAAAGAACTTAGTCATTTGCTTATTTTATTTGCTTATAAGATGAATTATAAGTATATATCCTGTATACTAATACTTTAGAGATAATACTTTACCTCAAATGTGTCATCATTATTTTCTTGACATTTATATGCAAATTTTGGTATTATTTTATTTTGTTCTGCACAAAAAGTGGCCTTTTCTTCATCTGTAAATGTTGCGAGATGATTATACCAACGTTTAATATGCAAATGATTTGCAAAGTCAATGCTTAATTCCTTTAATGATTGGTGAACCATCGCGTCAAGTTGTGAAGGTGTATAACCATTGAGATATGAATAATCTGCTAAGTAATTATTCAGTGCTTCCTGTACGCATAATTCATTCAAAGCCCACTGATACCATTTGCCATCTCCAATCACGTTAATACAATTAGCATTATATTTCTGGTATCAAAAAATTTAAGTTATATAATTAAATCTTTAAAATAAAAAAATGAATGATATAAAATTAAAATTTACCATATTATTTATATCATATTTAAATTGAGTGAGTGCAAATTTTGTAGCATTCCATATTTTGTTACAAAAAAATCTATATCCTTGTACACGAAGTATATCAAGATTTATATCTCGTCCTTGAGTAGTATAAGCACAGAGAGCAAATCGCAAAGCATCTGTTCCACATTCTGGAATGCCTTGTGGATAATCACGCTTTTGACCTTCCCAAGCTCTTTCCAATTCTTTTGAATCTAAATTCGAATCTAACAGTTGTTTTTGAAGATCCTGGAAAAAACTTTTGATTTAAAAATATCACAAAAAATATAAAATTATTCATACATACTTCTAAAGATATTCCTTTAATTACATCCATAGGATCTATTACATTTCCCAAAGATTTACTCATTTTTCTTCCGTGTGCATCTCTCACCATTGCATGTAGGTATACTTCCCTTTACAAAAAAAAAAATTCAATACTTTTATAAAAGATATATATTTTATTTCTTTAAATCCAGAAAACGCTATGGATAATAATAAATGCATTTGTAACATACTTGAAGGGCAACTGTCCTAATAACTTTTGGCCCATAAAAACCATTTTGGCAACCCAAAAGAAAAGTATATCATGGCCAGTTTCTAATAAAGTACCTGGATAAAATACCTTGAGTTCAGGAGTCTGAAAAACGTGCCCTAATATAAAAACTATGTTTTTTATTTTTTATTTTATAAACTTAATAATTTTATTTCTTAAACAATTTAATATACAATATACATACTTCATCAGGCCAACCAAAAATGGAAAATGGAAAAAGAGCAGAAGAGAACCAAGTATCTAATACATCAGGATCTTGCTCTGCAATAATATCTTTTACGTTAACATTCAATTTCCTGGCTGCTTTTTCTTTGGCCTCAATTTCAGAATGTGCACTCACCCAATATTCATTTATCTACATGACATTTTTAACTCATTATATATAAAACTATGTATTCCGATCATTTGATTATAAAAAAAGTTATAATCTCTAAATTATTTATCGGAAAAAAATTATAAAATTATAATATAAAAAATTACCTGTTCAGTGTTCATGTATGAACTAATAAACTTAATTGCATAGGCAGGAATGCGATGACCCCACCAGAGTTGTCGCGAAATGCACCAATCTCTGATACCATCCATCCAAATATACCAAGTTTTCTTAAATTGTTCTGGAATAATTTTCAATTCACCCGTACTTACTGCTTCTCTGGCTTTAGCAGCCATTTCGTCACATTTGACATACCTATATGTGCAAGAATATATCAGATGTTTCTTAAAAAAACATTTGACAAATATAACAATAGATGCGATACATTTATTTACCATTGTGGCTTTATAAGAGGTTCAACAACATCCTTCGATCGACTACATATGGGTATTACCATTGCATGATCTTTTATATCAATTAATAGATTTCTTTTTTTCATTTCTTTAATAATAGCCACTCGGGCTTCAAACCTTTTCATTCCCTGTAATTAATATTTAACTTATGTACATTTATTTCGATTTGTTTAATTTCAGATCTGTTCTCAAAACCTGATCAAAATAATAATTCAATAAAATTTTCTCTATAATTATTTACACAAGAATAAATATATCATACTGTAAATTCTCCATAGTCTCCAATAACATTTCCATTATCGTCAAAAATATTGATAAATGATAAATTGTGCCTTTTTCCAACTTCATAATCATTCGGATCATGGGCTGGCGTAATCTTGACAACACCTAAAAAAATAGTTTTGTTATCCTTGACTTGCTTGCATGATACTATGTTACTTTCACAATAGCTTTTAATCATAGCTCTTGCTGATTTATCAAATTACTTAGTGCAAATCAGTCAACCTGATAATTAAAAATAATACTGTTTATATTGAGATTTTCACTATTTTTTTCAAAATTGTTGTGATTATCATGATATCATGATCCATTATCAATCTTTCTTAAATATAATATCAGTGCGTTTTATTTTATTTATTTAAATGCATTAACATTTGACGATTTTATAACATTAAATAGAGGATACTTATAAAATTACTATCAGAAGACGAACGTAAATAATTTATGCTCCAAAATTTCTGATTTACACTATTATGATTTTAAGTCCACCATTTATTTACCAGTGCCAAATTCCATGTCGACAAATTCATCAGCTATAATGGGTATATGCCTGTTGCAAAAGGGATGCTGCACAAATTTTCCAATATATTGCATATATCTACTATCTTTTGGATGTACTGCAATAGCAGTATCTCCCAACATAGTTTCAATACGAGTGGTTGCTACAATTATTTTATCTTTGGAATTGAAAAGTTGATAAGCAAAAGATATCAAAACACCAAATTCTACTTTCTTTTCATAGCCAGGTATAGAAAGCAGAGTCCGACCATTTAATTCCATTTTATCAACCTTATTTAAATAAACATATTTTCAATATGAATTTTCAAATTAATTTTATTAATTTATATTTTAATGTATATTTGTTAAATTGTATATATGTACACGCGCGCGCGCACACGCACACGCACACACACATCACCACATATACACATATTATACTCACTTCAATATCAGAAATCGCACTTTTCAAAGCACATGACCAATTTACTAAACGATTGCTGCGATAGATAATACCTTCATCATGTAAGCGTATAAATGCTTCTGTTACCGCTTTACATAATTTAGAATCCATTGTAAAACAAGCACGGCTCCAATCAAAGGAACCACCAATTTTCCTCAATTGCGAATAAATTCTATCGCCTTTTCTGCAAAATATTTCGAAATAGGTAACCTAATTAAATATTATATATCACATTATGTTTTTTCATATAATTATATAAGTTGTTTGACATCTCATTTATAATTTTATATTTACTCATGCTTCCACTGCCATATTCTTTTTATAAATTCTTCTCTACCAATATCATGACGAGATTTCTTTTCTTCCTTCCAGAGTTTTTTTTCTACAACCACTTGAGTGGCAATACCTGCATGATCACAACCTGGATTCCAGAGTGTTGTACGGCCTTTCATACGATTCCTAAATAAATATAATCAAACAATATTTATATATACAGTTAAAAATATCATAATTTTTTTCAAAATGTCAGCTTATGTTTTAGATTTATACAATATTTATACCATCTGGTAATAGCATCTTCTACAGCATTAGTTAAAGCGTGTCCAAGATGCAAAGAACCAGTTACATTCGGTGGTGGTATTATCATTATAAATTTTCCTTTTGAATTTTCCTCTAATATATCTTTCCTCTAAAAATAGGATTTTTATGTGTATACAAATACATATGTATTTTAATATAATTATGTATATTTAAATTTTTATGTTTTATATTTTCAATTTACATACTCCATATTCTGGTTTGAAAAAACCTTCCTTTTCCCACCAAGCATACCATGCAGCTTCTACATATTGTGGGCTATATGTATCTGGCATTGGGCATGTGATATCCTTCTTTTCTCCAGGTGGTGTATCAATAGTATACAAAATTAATTTAGTATCTTTCTTATTATCATTTTTCTAAAATATATTAATAAAATTAAATTCTATATATTATGCAAATTATAACATGCAAAGTATATCTTTCTCTACTTTATAACTATTGTATAAATTAATACTTCTTTTAATATTTATCATCAATAAAACATATAAGAACATTTATTTTCACGAAATAAACATTATATAAATATTTATAAATATAAAAATCAAAAATTATAAAAATATCAATATCTAAATTTTTGAAATAATTATTAACTAATTATTCAAATATAAGTATTTGCATATCTTAATAGTTCAAATCTTGAAAAGTTAAATGAATAAATTTGTAAAATTAGACCTAAATTACACAAAAAATTAAGCAAAATGCTAATTATAAGGAATAATATATTTTGTTGTGATACAAACTTTGTCAAAATTAAATGTTTTTTATTATATGTAATGTTATATAAATCTGTTAGATCAATATATCATATACATATGCATATATAGATACATATGTATATGCGTACACACACACACACACACACACACACACACACACACACACACACACACACACACATACACACACACACACACACACGTTTCAACATGTACAATTTGTTTTAACTATTTCTTATATTTCTATTATATTTTTATTATACTTGAATAATGCCATAAATGTTACACATGAAGTACCATACTTAATTTGACCAAACTAAATTATTCAATAATTATACGTTTCATGCTTATATGTTTCAAAAGTTATATGTTATCAAGAACATATAATCCAACATTTTTTATATCTTGTTTCAATATGAAAAGGTCATAAATTATAAATTATTTTAACCAACCTAGTTATTTTGCTTTAAAATTTAAAAGAGAAAAAAGTAAATATATAAAATTAAATCAATAATTACTGAAATAAATAATAAATAAAAAGGCTTAAATTTCTAAAAATGAAAAATCTATATAATACTTACTACTTATAAATGCTATAAAACATAAATATTTCTGCATTATCAAGAAACAATCTGTTTTATATTGTATATAAATGATTATTGTAACATGAAAATAAAATGTATGTATAATTCTTCTTATATCTTTTTAACTTCTTTTTAATTGTAAAAAAAATGGTTAAATTTACTTTATTAGTCACTTCATAGAATGGCTAGATGAATTGCTTATAGCAACGATTATTAGATTATTTGATATCTAATTATCAAACAATCATCTAATATAATAAATATAATAAATATATTTGTCTGTATTATGTACCCCCTTAATAGTAATTTTTATTTAAAACATTTGTTGATAAAACAAATAGTTTATGAATAACATAGATGATAACATGATTAAGTGAGATAATCATCTTGTATAAATGTATGTAAATAATTGCTACAAATGATAATACAATTCTGTAATTTTGTAGAACACAGCAATCATATATATAAAAAATGTTTCATACTTTATGATACTTTATAAGTGAAAATTAATGTAGTATATATTAAAATTAATTAGTATATATTAAAATTTTTAGAAAACAGAAAGATTAATGAATATTTTTATTTTGCGTCAATGCAGAGTGTTTAAAATCAAAAAATTGAAAAAAATTCTAGTCAGTTTCAGTCAATTTAATCTTCAATTTTTGTAGTAAACTTTGATGTAAATCGATAAATTTGCTGTGTTCTAAATATTAAGATTTGAATGAGATAAATTTAAAGTTGAACATTCAGACCAGACAATTAATCAAATAAATTTTTAACCTAACTCTGCCAGAATAAACACACTTAAACGCAGTATTCGCAGATTTAATTAGAATAATGTAGACAAGACAAGGCTGATTCGCGAACAATTAGTGCTAGATTTATGTGAAAGCTATTTAATGAAGTTCCATATGGGTAATAAAGATATCGATATTCTTTGCATACTCTTTATCAAATTTAAGTATTTAACATCGGCCTAAACTTACTTCTGTTTTTTCTTTTACATTCCCCGGCTTTTCGGTCTCCCTTTTCTCCTGCTTTTGTTTAAATTTCTCCAATTTGGCCAATTTCTTGGCCTCCTTTTGCAACTGCTTGGCTGTTTTCGGCGGATCATTTTCTACAGTCGCGGTCGCCGCGTCATTTTTAGAATTGACCATTTTCTTATTTTTTTTCTTTTACGAGAAATTTTTATACATTTATTTGCTATTTTACACTCAACCAACTTACGAAATGGAGACACGGCAAATGCAACAACGATACAGTTAACTATGACATCTAAATGCAACGATACCTAAAATGATTTGCGGTTAATTTGTAGCCAGTGTTGCAAGATTTGTGGATAATTTCACATTGAGATCTCAGTGCGCAAGTATCTTCTTAGTGAGCTAGTGAATATATCACAAGCACGTGTCGTAGTACTTGGCAAGTGATTGGCAGCAATCACGACTACGTTCGAAAAGCTTGCTATTTAGCGCTATTCGGGAAATCAATTGGTCAGAGATCTTAGAACTAGATATGTCTTCTGAGAGTCGAGTGTGTATCTTCAAATGAGGTGGAAATGATAAGGGGGGGTGCTTTCCATTTAGCGACACACAAGTCGACACAAGTCTGAGTTATATCTTTCTTGGCTTTTAATGATTAACAAGGACAAAATGATACTTGTGTCGACTTGTGTCACTGAAGGGAAAGCATCCAAAAGTGAGGAAATTCACTAGAGTATCTGCAACTTCCTATGTCGAAAGCTAGTAAATTTCCTCACTTTTCACCTTGTAATTTTCACCTTGCTTCAAGTATACAATTGACTTCCTGGGAATCAATTGTGTATCTTGAAGCAAGATAAAAATTACAAAAATGAGGAAATTCAGATATTCTAGAATATCTATAACTTCATACGTCGAAAGCTAATAAATTTCCTTTTGTAGTCTTCACCTCGTTTTAAGATACACAATCGTTGGAGTGTTTGTAAAAATCAATCAATATTAAACTGAGAGGAAAGGTCTATCCAAACAAACTTGCATAGAAATATAATCATATACATAAGGAAAATTACTAAATCGCATTTCTATCATAAGGACTTATGTAAAATGCGATTGGATAATTTTCCTTATGCATATAAAGAAAATATGCTGCGATGCAAGTTTGTCTGGATAAACCCTTAATCTTAACTGAAGTTTTATGGACACAAATAAATACAAAAAATATCATTATACTTAAGGTTATTGATGTGAAAAGATTTTAATCGTAATTAAAAGTAAAAAATAAGAAAGTAAATATAAAGTTGTAAATAAGTTGACCAGAAGTTATTCGCTTATTCTCATTACGGTTCAAAAATAATCGACCGTAATTGGTCAATTTGCTTACGTCTTATGATTACAATTAAAATTTTTTTAGTCCCAGTCTACAATAGATAATTTAAGCCTTGAGCCATAAGAAATGGATGAATCATAGTCGAAAAATAGGAGAATAATCGACTATGATTGGTCAATTTTGTATGGTTTAAGGCTTAAATCACTTATTGTAGACCGGGATTTACGTGCAATGATCTCAAGGCCATATCAGACTAGTGATTGCCCGGCTGCGGTTGCCGGTTATGGTCTTTAGGCCTGTTCTACAATGCGTCGTGTGTCGTAGGTCGTGGTCCTGTAAGAATGGACCAATCAATCACAAGTATTCTCTCCACATTCATCTATGACTTAGTTTGCACCCAACCATTCAATCTCGATTCACTTCGGAATGAAGTAATATTTCTTAAGTGTAAGTGAATTAATTTCGATCCACTTTAATCCTCTTCTTTTCTTAGCGAAGATCAATCCGATGTAAACGCTCCCTAAATCCATTTCCTTTTGAAGTAAACCGGGATTGGACGACTAAGTGTAAACTAAGTCTGTGATTGATTAATTCTTGTGACTTGTAGCTTGTGACACCGACATGCGACGTATCGTAGAACAAGTCTTACTTTCAACTAATAATGTATGTACAGTATATGTTAACTACATAAACTATAGATTTTCAATAGTGGCAATGAATTCTAGAACACACAGTTTATATATCAGTGTACGTATGTGAATTTGCTGCCTTGATTTTGTGTCGATAGACGACGTGTGTGTAATTTTGTACAGTTTACTTAGAATTTGGTAATAGGAGAAAGAAAAAAACAGAAGCACGAAATTCGCAAATATTACGATTGCTGATTGATAAAAACGACCAAATGTGACGTGCAGCTACAAAGCTTTTTTTAAAAATCGTTCGAATGGAATACATTATCGTCATGTATTACGATGACGTATAGACGTCAAGATCATACGGATTATTTATGTTTTTTTAGCTAATATCATGGGATCTAGATTGAGGTAAGTCTGCTTTCCTTTATTCTAGAAAATCCCATATTTTGATATAAATTCTTTTTTTAAGATCAGGCGAGAACATAATTTTTTGTGCATTATGGTTAGATGATTTCGCAATACTAATATTTTTGTTTTGTTCAAAACATATTATATTTTTTTATACATAGAATTTTAAATATAACAATATATAAAAATATAACAATTTTGTCAATATTATGATTTAATAAGAAACAATTACTTCAAAAGTTGTTATGAATTCTCATAATACCTTCAAAGTTCATATGTTGCATTTTAATCAAATTGCCTAAGTATTAGTATTTTTATATATATTTTTAGGGAAAATGTTAAGCAACTTTTTGAATGTTTTTGTGAGATAGCTGCGCCACTAGGAGAAAAGCCAGCTTGGATACTCCAGAAATATCCCAACTGCTTTTCAGATGAAGAGATACTTAAATCTGTTCCTAAATTTGCATATCCTTGCGAATTTGAAAAGTATATTAATATTACTTATATAAGTTATAAATTTTTACTTTCTTTTTATTGTAATATTTGTCTATTGTACTTTTCTTGTTTTAGTTTGTTGGTGCAACATTTTTCATTCGTGCTCACTAGCATAGATTCAAAATGGACTTTTGGATTCTGTCGTCATGATCCTAAAACAAAAACAGCTTTAGTAGTCTTGAGTGCACTTCCGTGGCATGAAACATTTTATAAGTTAGAAGAAATATTAATTGAATATTTTTATATTTTATCCAAAATGGATTATAATATTAAATTGCATTTTCTCTAGATTGTTGAATCATATTGCATCTTTAACTAGCAATGCCAGTGGAGAAGATTTGTGGAAGTTTCTTGAAAGTATATATACTTGTGGAGTTCCAGTACCTGGAAATTCTATATCTATTCCTTTACCAAATTCTACAATGGTAAATTGTTATAGAATTCTGTTATATTTGTCAAATTGACAAATATATTTAATAGAATAAATTTGATATATTTTTTATGTAGTTTTTCATATAGTTTTTCTTTTAAATTTAACCATTTTCATCATATTAAAAACATTTTATTGTTTTCAGAATTTTATTTGTCAAAGTCCAAAACAGTTTCAACTGCCTAGTATTCCCGAAAATGTAAGTAATAAATATAATTAATACTTTTTATTTGAAAACTTTATACATTAAAATGGTTTATTAGAAATCTAACTAAACCAGTGCTTGTGCCAAAATGTACACTTTTGGTTAATTTTTGTAGTGAATACATATCCTTACTTGTTGAGCTGATGGTGATAGATCAACAAAGATCAGTGTTAAGTTATGCGGTGCTTTGCTTCAGAAACGCTTATACCTTCTAATTTATAGCAAATTTAGTTAATATAATTTTTTTATGAGGAAATTATGGTCTGCTAAATAATATGACAAATTTATTGGTAACTTTACATAATTGTTGAAAATATTTATATATTTTTATATTTTAATAATATAATATATAGTAGTATTTAATAGGGACTAATCTGATGTGGGAATACCGCGCGACTTATAACTAATTATCTATTGGCCAATTACTATGGTCTCAAGAAGTAAAGGGAGGCAGTAGGTGTTTACTAGGAAAATCAACTGAAAGTTGCACATTATGACAAGCATTGATCTAGACCATAAAATTATTAACAAATATCTCTGAAGTGATTTTATTATTTTAGAGAAACTTGACTGAATATTATAGTGCTGTAGATTCGCACAATATGATGATTATATTTGCATCTATGTTATATGAACGCCGTATTATTTTTATTTCAAAACGTCTATCGAGGTTGAGTGCGTGTGTACAAGCATGCAATGCTTTAATTTATCCAATGATTTGGCAACATATATATATACCTGTACTACCGTTATCATTGATAGATTATCTATTAGCACCTATGCCATTCCTGATTGGAGTACCTACACCAACGCTTCAGGTATTACACAGAAAATTTATTTTCTCTTGAACATATTATTCTCTAAAAACATATCTTTATATAATGTTTTGTATATATACATATACATATGTGCGCGTACATATACGACATGCATACACATTTATTCATTGGATGACTCAAAAATGACATTTTTATTGTGTCAAAAGTTAAATTCGTTATATAAAAAAAATTTAGAAATTACAGGGTTTCAAAGAGAATATAAAATTGTAC